GTATATTGAAGGGGGGCCCCCCAACTGAAGGGGCCCCCCTCGCATATCATGTGGCGATACACCGCACGGGCTTAACAGACTTTCGCTTACTTCGCCGTCTCTGTCTCCTCTTAACCCTCCTGCTGCTGCTGCTGCAGCTGCTGCTGCTACTGCACCTATGCCTGCTGCTTCGGGGTCCTCGCATGCAGGAGCACTGGGGGCCCCCCCATGCTGCAGGGGCCCCCCGCTGAACCCTGGAGGGGCCCTCTTCATTCGGTTTAAAGGGGCCGGAGCAGCAAAGAAGGGGGCCCCCGAGGGGGCCCCCCCCTCCTTCTGCTGCTGCTGTTGCTGCTGCTGCTGTGAAGATGAGTTCCGCTGCGGTGTTGAGAAGAGGGAGTTCGAAGCTCCTGCTTCTGCTGCTGCTGTTGCTGCTGCTGTTGCTGCTGCTGCTGGAGGTGCGTTGCCTTCTGAGCAGCTTGGCGTCGGCAGCAAATCAAAGACAGAGGTGGGGGGCCCCCTGGGGCCCCCGTATGCTGCCTTTGCATTTTGCCCAGCAGGAGCACCAGCAGCAGCAGCAGCAGCAGCAGCTGCTGCTGCTGCTGCTGCTGCGCTGCTGCAGCAGTGTCTCCTTTCCCATAGTACTTTAAACTCTGCTGCACATACAGCTGGACAAGAGGGGCCCCCATCATACAGCAGCAAACCTGGGAGACACAAGAGATCTGTTGTATCAAGGGCCCCTGTTGCTCTGAACTTATATGTAAGATTTGTGCGGGGAAGCTCCTCCAGCAGCAGAGACAGCAGCAAGCGCAGCAGAGGGGGCAAGCTGCTGCTGCTGCGGAGCTTCTGCAGCAAGCATAGATCTGTCATCGATACCTCTAAGAACTGAGAGAAGAATAGCAGCTTTAAACCCAGCAGCACTGCTTGAGGGGGCCCCCTTAGGAGGCCCCCTAAAGGAGACACCCCAACGAAGTGGTGGGTCTCCCTAGGTATAAACGAACGAAGCAGCAATACGCCTAACTCCTCCACAGCCTGATTCACAACAAAACAAACCCTAAACCCTAAACCCTAAACCCTAAACCCTAAGTCCTGGTTAGCAGCAAAAAGATCTACAAAAAGAGGTGTTTAATTGCTGCAGCAGCTGCTACCCAACGCTGTGCTGCAGGGGGCCCCGGGGGGCCCCCTGCTGCACAGCATTATGAGGATGAGTAGGGCCCCGAGAGACGAAGAGAGAGAGAGAAGAGACAATTACCTTTATTATTTGCTGCTGCCCCTCTGCATCTGCTGGTAGACGCGGTAAAGCTACAGAGGGGGGCCCCCCCGACCCTCCTTTTACGTTTAAATAAGAGAGATAGGGGCCCCCTCCAACAGAAAAAGAGACAGCAATCGGAGGCCCTGAAGATCGCACTGAACGAGATACTGCAACAGGGGCCCCCCCAGAGTCAGGGGGCCCCCCGCCTTTAGGGGGCCCCCCTCTCTTATCCCGGGGCCCCCCGATCCTTCCAGCCTCAGCAACAACAGAGACAGGGCCTAGAGGGGCCCCCAGCAAACCAGGAGACCCCTTAGGGGGCCCCTGTGCAGCAGCAGCAGCAGCAGCTGCTGCTGCTGCTGCTGGAGCTTCCGATGGTGCTTCAACCTGCAGCAAGGGGTGGGGGGTGTCTGCTGCTCCCGCTGCTGCAGCTGCAGCAGTTGTAGCAGCAGCAGCAGCAGACGCAGCAGGAACAGCAGCAGCAACTTCTGCTGGATCCTGCTTCACCTCTTCCTGTACCTCTTGGAGGCCCCCTAAAGCACCCTGCCGTTTCTTTAAGGTAGTGGGGGGGCCCCCAAGGGGGCCCCCCTGTCTCTTCTCTCGCAGCTTAACATCTACCTCAGAGGGTTCGTCCCAGGGGGCCCCCCTTGCCTGTCTCCTATTGGGGGCCCCCCTATCTCCTCGGAGCAGCCGCAAGGGCCTCCTGCTGCTAGCAGCAGATAAAGCTTCTCCTGCTGCAGCTTCTTTACGTGCTGCTGCTGCAGGGCTGGAAGCCCTGCTGCTGGGCTGCGAATCTTCATAGTCAGAGTCGCTGGTTGTGTCATCAGCTGAAGTGTCTCCTGTCTCCTCTTCTTCACTTGCTGCTGCAGCAAGATCTTCTTCGCTGCCGCTGCTGTCGCTGTTGCTGCTGCTGCTGCTGCTGCTGCTGCTGTTGCCTGCATGCTTCCGGTGGCGGGTAGAGGGCCCTCTCTCGGAGGCTGTGCTGCTGGAGGCCTCCTCCTCCCTGTAGCTGCTGCTGCTGCTGCTGCTGTCGCTGTCGCAGCTGTCTGTAACGTCCGACAGCAACGAAGTCTCCCCACTGTCTAAGCGCATTTCTTCTGCTTCTGCTGCTGCTGCTGCTGCTGCTGCTGCGCTGCGGGGGGCCCCCTTAGAGTTAGAAGACCGGGGGGCCCCTCCACCTGCCTTTGAAGCCTCCCCTCTATAACGCAAACTCCTGCGGCATTGAGTATAGCCCTGCAGCAAACCCTCACCACCCCGATCCCCTGCTGCTGCTGCTGTTCTCCGCGTTGCTGCAGCAGCAAGGGCCTCGTGGGGGGCCCCCAGCCTGCTGCTGCCCCTGCGGGTTAGGGGGCCCCTCCTGCGCCTTAAGGAGACACTTTCCTTTGATGAAGAGACAGAAGAATCGTCTGGTGGGTTCGTCTCCTCACTGCTGCTGCTGCTGCTGCTGCTGCTGCAGCGGCTGCGGCTGCGGCTGCCGCGGTTGCTGCCGCTGCGGCCTCGCTTGCCCCTTCGCACTGCAGCAGAAGCAGCAGCAGATGCTGCAGCTGCTGCTGCTGCTCTTCTTGACGGATGCTGCTGCCGCGGTGCTGCTGCTGCTGCTGCTGCTGCAGTCTCAGTCCCAGCAGCAGAATCGCTTTCATGCAGCAGCAGCACCTGTGCTTCCGCCGCTGCAGCAGCAAGTGCAGCAGCAGCAGCAGCGGGCTCTTCCTCAGCCTCCTCCTCTTCTTCCTCTTCACCATCCTCATCATCATCATCATCATCATCATCTGCTGCTGCTGCTGCTGCTGCTGCTGCATTGTCGCGCAAGTCTAGCACTTTGAGGCGCCCCCCATTTGAACGCAGCGCAGCAGCAACCAGCAGCAAATCTGCTGCGCTGATGCTGCAGTTCTTCATGAAGAGACACTCTAAGGGACAGGGGCCCCTCCCTCCAGTGCCCTGCAACGCAAACCCTAAACCCTAAACCCTAAACCCTAAACCCTAGACTTGAACAAGCAACCATCTGCAGCACCTAAACCCTAAACCCTTCACTGCAGCAAACCTACTTCGCAGGGCCCCCAAAGGCTCCGCCTTCCCGCATCTTCTACACCCAAGGGTTTAGGGTTTAGGGTTTAGGGTTTAGGGTTTACCTGCAAGGCATTGAGAAGAGGTTCTAGAGGAGAGGGCCCCTCTTCCTCTTCAGGTGTATGTACACCGCACGGGTTGCCGCTGAGATCGAGAGACCTCAGCATACAGCCGGGGGCCCCCAGGGCCCCCCCAATACAGTGCAGCACAGAAGCACTTAAATTATTGTTAGCGAGATTGAGGCTGCGAAGAGGGGCCCCCTGAACCTTGGTTTCTGCTGCTCCCTGCGCTCCGCTGTTCCTCGTGCTGCGCTTGCTGCTGCTGCTGCTGCTGCTGCTGCTGCCGTAGAGTGCGTCAAGCAGCGCAGCTACGTCATCTTCATTGAGGGCCCCACCGCAGCAAGAGAGGTCTAGGTGCAGCAGAAGCATTTTTGCTGCTTGCTGCAGCAGCAGACGTCGCAGCAGCCTAAGAGAGACATCTGAAGACCCTAGCCACAGCACCTGCAGCAGCAGGGGGCCCCCTACACCCTGTAAAGGAGGGGGCCCCAGCCCCACTGATGCATGCAGAGACAGTTCTTTCAAGGGGGCCCCTATAATCTTAAGGCGGCCTTCTAGGGCTAGGGGGCCCCACAGATTTCCTCCTAGGCGCAGCTGCTGCAGCAGCGGGGGGCCCCCTGTCTTTGTTAGGAAATCTAATAGCAGGGGGCCCCCCTCCTCAGGTATATTATTAAAAGATATATCAAACTCTTTTAGCCTCCGCAGCAAAGTCGGATGACGCAGCAGCTGCTGCAGCAGCAGCTTCAACCCCACAAGCCCCAATCCACAGTGACGCATGCAGACACCGCAGCCTGCAGGCATTGCTGCAACAGTACGTATATACACCCCAATTAAACCCCCCAAACCCTTGCTGCTGCTGCTGCTGCTGCTGCTGCTGCTGCTGGAGGTGGAGGGAGGGGTTCCTGCTGCAGGAAGGTCTTCAAGTATAATACGAGACAAAGCTTTATTTTTAATGCATGCAGCAGAGAGAGACAGAAGCCAGCGTGCGTCTCCTCTTATAACAACTGCAGTTAAATTAGGGGCTCGCTGAATCGCTGCTGAGAGCTGCTGCTGCTCGTACACCCCACGGGGGCCCTCAATGAAGGGGGCCCCAACAACTAGCACATCTATGAAGGGTAGAGGCATCTCAGGCCGCAGCAAATGAACTTTAAGAGACAGCGGGTGTACATACACCCCAGTTGCTGCTGCAGCAGGAAAAGCAGAGCACCCCTGCTGCGCCTCGGCCTCTGACTCCTCCCCATTCTCTTGCTGCTGCTGCTCTTCATGCTGCTGCTGCTGCTGCAGCTGCTGCTGCAGACACTCCAATACTGCAGGTGATAAAGACAGCACCTGCAGCACGTATAAACCCTCATTCCCAACTCTGCTGCTGCTGCTGCTGCTGCTGCTGCTGCTGCGAGACTTTCGTGAGGCGTTGGGTGTACGCGCAGGGGCCCCCGGGGGCCCCTCTAAGAGCGCCCAAGGGCAGCAGCCAAAAGGAAATCGATGAGGGGCCCACTGGTGTCCTCCTACCTCTTCATTGAGGGGCCCCAGCAGCAGATCTGCTGCTGCTGCTGCTCCCGCTGTCTTTGTACCTGCTGCTGCTGCTGTGGGCGTGCGTCTCTTGCTGACCCGCTTTGCTGCTGCTGTTGTTGCTGCTGCTGCTGCAGAAGCAGCACGAAGCCGAGAAACTCGCGGCCCTGATCCCCCTGCTGGAGGCATTTCTGCGTGTCTGCTGCTGCTGCTGCTGCTGCTGCCCTTGTTGCTGCAGCTGCAGCAAAACTTGCTGCTGCTGCTGCTGCTGCTGCTTAGGAGGGCCTGCCTGAACCCAATGAAGGCTACAGCACCTGATGTACGTATATTAAACCGTGGTGTGCTGCTGTGTGCCCTCAGCAGTGCAGCAGCAACGGCAGCAGCAGCAGCAGCAGCAGCAGCATGCGGCCGTTCCTTGAGGCTGGATTACCTGGGGCCCCCAGTGGCTAGGGGGCCCCCGAGCCTCTGCAATTGTTTAGCAGCAGAAGAAATTAAATAAGCAGAAGAAGAGAGCTGTACACAAGCTGCTGATTAACCCTCACATGCTGCTGCTGCAGCAAGCCCCAAAAAGAGCGGGGACGAGGAGCTGTAGGCTGTCTTCTTGTTAGCTGCTAAATGCATGCAAAGGAGAAACCCTGCAGCAACAGCTTGCTCTTGCTGCTGCTGCTGTTGCTGCTGCTGCTGCTGCTGCTGCTGCTGCTCCCCGTCCCGCGCCCTGACGCAGCAAGGCGGAGGCTGTTGGGCTGTCTAGACCCTAGAGAGAGAGAAGAGCAGCATATTAATAAACCCTAAACCCTAATTCAAACAACTCTAAACCCTAAACCCTAGACAGTTCGGGGCTTCCAGTAGACAACGGGGGGTGTTGAGGTACAGCAAGCCCCAGCCCCGAGGGCCTGGGGCCCCAGCAGCAACCCTAAACCCTAAACCCTAAACCCTAAACCCTAAACCCTAAAAGTTCTTTGGGTGTATCTTTGTTAATAAAAAGGCGTTGTAAAGCACATAAACCCTCAACCATATACCCTGCTGCAACCAGCGCTTCATACAGCTGTTGCTGCTGCTGCTGCTGCTGCTGCAGCAAAGAGAGGGGGGCCTCTCTAACAGCTTATTAATTGCGTATGCGGTTTGAGTTAGAAAGCGTAGGAGAAGGCTTTAGGGGCCCTAGCTGTGCATGCATGGCCACCCCAGAGCGTAGATCTTGAAACCCTAGATCTTGAAACCCTAAACCCTAAACCCTAGGTCTTGAGAGGGCGGCGAAGTGCCTTTGCTGCAGCAGCTCAGCCAGTAGAGAGATATGCTGCTGCATTTCAATATAAGACATCTGTGTCTCTTCTTCTTAGAGCCCCTTAAGGATTGCTGTTGGTTGTAGTTTGCTGCAGCAGCTCTCTTTGCTGCAGCAAAGAGAGCTGCTGGTTCTAGTTTGCTGCAGCAGCTCTCTTTGCTGCAGCAAGACTGAAAGGGCTGCTGCGTCCTTGCATACAAAAAAATAATTCAGCCTCTAACAGTCTCCGTAAGTGCTGCTGCGCTTGCTGCAGCAAAGTTGAGTGCTGCTGAACTTGCTGCAGCAAGAGTGAATGCTGCTGCCTTTGCTGCAGCACGGGCAACAGCATACAGGTTGAGCGTTAGATGCTGAGACGCTTATAGTTGTGTGTCTCTAATTAATTAATATATTATTTGTCTGCTGCACTTCGATTGGAGACATACACCCGAAGAAACAAATAAAGCCTAGCTATCTTCTGCATGAATTAAGCATCTTATAGTTTATTTTAATAGCTGTTGTTTGATTAATTATAAATATAATTATATTAATTAAAGTCAACATCTGCTTTATTAGCCCCGCACGCGTTCGATTCCCACCTCTGACTTTATTTTTAATTATTCATTAATTAGTTTGTCTCCTTTGTTTGCATTCAAGCTGTCTCTTAATACAAATAGAAAGTAAAGCTGCTGCAGCTACAAACAAGACCAGGTGCAGGCTGAGGCGTCTGTACAGCACTCAGCAGCAGCTTTAAGAGACAGCTGCAGCAGAAGAGACACCAGAGACATTTTCTAATAGAGTTGCATGCATGCATGCAGCGCAGCAGCAGCAGCAGCACAGCAGCAGCAGCAGCAGCAGCAGCAACGTACTCCAGTGTACGTACACCCCAAAATATAATAATAATAATGTGCTCTTTACGATTCCGTCGCTGCTGCAGCACTTCAAAGATATTAATGCATATGAAGACAGAGACAGCAGGCAGCAGACTGTCTCCTTCTGCAGCAACTTCAGCTGCAAGCCTCCTGCAGCTACCGCTGCTGTCGCTGCTGCTGCTGCTGCTGCTGCTGCTGCTGCTGCTGTTTTGCTGCTGCTGCTCTATGCATGCAGTTTCTCTTCTTCTTCCTTCTCATCATTAATCATGCCTCTTGCTATGAGCAGCAGCAGTAAACCCTAAACCCTAAACCCTAAACCCCAGCTCAGCACATGATACTAACCTACTCTAAAACAGCAGAACGACAAAACAAAATAATGCTCAGCAGCAAATAATATTAAAATTATCAATCATAACAATGACTAAACCCTAAACCCTAAACCCTAAAACCCTAAGCTTCAAACCTTTCAGCGAAACACAAAAAGTTCTTTAAATCGAACAAAATCTCCAGCTGCTGCAGCTGCTGCTCTTGCAGTTGCTGCAGCTGCTGTTGCTGCTGCTCCTGCATTTGCTGCAGCTTGTGTTGAAGCTGCTCCTGCAGTTGCTGCAGCAGCAGCTGCTGCAGGAAGCGCTCCTAACGGTGTCTAGTGCAGCTAAGCAGCCTTTCGAGTTGCTGCTGCTGCATGCGTTCGTACGTGTACACCGCAGCTCGCCGACAGGCGCGCTGCTGCTGCTGCTGCTGCTGCAGCTGCTGCTGCTGCTGCTGCTGTTGCTGCTGTTGCTGCTGCTCTGGCAGCAGCAGCAGCAGCAGCAGCAGCAGCAAGGCCCTCGCTGGGGCCTCATAGTGTGAAGTCGTATATCTCTGAATAGAGAGCAGGGCCCCCTTCTTCTAGTTTGCTGTCGAGCTTAGCAAAGAAGGAAGAGACAGCATCACGCCAGCTCCATTCTGCTGCTGCTGCTGCTGCTGGCGCTGCTGCTGCTGCTGCTGCTGGATGTACACCTAAGGATGCTGCTGCAGCAGAGACAGAGGACATACTCGCAGGGGGCAGCAGAGACGGATAGATAGACACACCCGATACAGCAGCAGATTGTGCTGCTGCTGCATACGCTAGATGCTGCAAGAATGAAGAAAACCAGCTGCTGATGCCGCTGCTGCTGCTGCTGCTGTTGCTGCTGCTGTCTGCTGCTGGTGCTGCTGCTGCCTCATTCAAAGGTTCTTCAGCAGCTGCAGCAGCAACTTCGGTGTCTGCAGCACTTAACTTCGCCGCATCGTCTGCTGCTGCTGCTGCTGCTTCTCCTTCATTTGCTGCTGCTGCAGCAGTTGCTGCTGCTGCTGTTTCTGTCTCTTGCATGCAAGGAAGGACAGGGGAGGGGCTCAAGACCATCTGATTTGCTGCTCTCCACCGAGCTGAAGGGCTGCTGCAGCTGTTACTGCTGCTGCTGCTGCTGCTGCTGTTTCTGCTGTTATTTACTACAGCAAACCCCGCCATATCTTCTGCTGCTCCGTCTGCATCTGTTGCTGCTGTTGCTGCTGCAGCTTCTTCTGCATCTGCTGCTACTGCTGCTGCGGGCTCGTGGAGTGTATCAGCAGCAGCAGCAGCAGCAGCAGCATCAGGGCTGACGTTCATAATGTCTTGCAGCAAAGGCCCCTGGGAGCCGCTAAGGACAGTGCGGCCAGCGCATACTGCACAGCACACACAAATAGGGTTTAGGGTTTAGGGTTTAGGGTTTAGGGTGAGGGGGCTTAGGGTTTAGGCAATGCGCTCTAGCATTAGGGTCGGTCTGAAGGTACATAGTATACGCTGAAACGCCTCACAAAACCCTAAACCCTAAACCCTAAACCCTAAACCCTTGAGACAGGCTGTTGTTGGCCGCTCGTACACACATTGAATACTGCTGCCTGATGTCTGCGTGAAGAAGTAGGGTTTAGGAGCGTAGACCATTATTACGCAGCAGCTAGGGTTTAGGGTTTAGGGTTTAAGGTCTAGGGTTTAGGGTTTAGGGTTTAGGGTTTAAGAAACTTACGTGTGGACCCCCGAGCAAGCAAGCCAACCACAATGGGGGGGAGCAGTAGCCGCCTCATCTCGAGGGTTTAGGGTCTAGGGTTTAGGGTTTAGGGTTTAGGGTATTTGCAGCCACCTTAAAAGATTAAAAAACAAAATAGGACACGCCTCCAACAAGCATGCAGCAGCAGCAGCAGCAGCAGCAGCTCCTGCTGCTGCTGCTGCTGCTGCTGCTCCGGCAGCCCCAATCTACGAGACAACAGGCTGCTGACCACAGCAGCAGCAGCAGCAGCAGCTGCTGCTGCTGCTGCCTCAGTAATAGGTATATATATTTAGACAATTAATTTTTCTACCCCATTACCAAGTTCAGGGTTTAGGGTTTAGGGTTTAGGGTTTAGGGTTTAGGGTTTGCGGTGAATGAGCGAAGGCTGCGCAGACGACCGTTAGAGGTCTCCTTAGGGAGAGTCTCAGGGTTTAGGGTTTAGGGTGTAGTATCTCGGGATTAGGGTTTAGAGCTTAGGGTTTGATGTTCTGAACGAAGACCTAGGGTTTAGGGTTTAGGGTTTAGGGTTTAGGGTTTAGGGTTTGGAAGATGCCTCCGAAGAAGGCCAAAGGCAAGGGCCCTGCCCTAAAGCCCGACGCAGCAAAGCTGCAAGAAGAAGCGCGACAGCAGCACATTGAAGTGAGAGTTTAGGGTTTAGGGTTTGGGGAGCTCGTCAAGTGTTTAGGGTTTAGGGTTTAGGGCTTAGGGTTTAGGGTTTAGCTTCTAAGGGGCGTCTTAAGTGACCCTGCTGCTTCGTTTGAGGTGTACGTACACCGCAGGAAAGCACCGCTCTCATTCTAAAAGAAGCAGCAAACCCTCAAAAAGAATTACTAAGCGATTGGATTGAAGAGGCAATAGATATTCAAGTGCGAGCTCCTCCTAAACCCTAAACCCTAAATCCTAAACCCTAAACCCTGAACCCTCGGTGAACGAGCGTGATGCATAGGCATCTCCGTTTAAAACCCTAAACCCTAAACCCTACGAAAAAAGGCGTAGACCCAAGCAAAGCTTTTGATGGAGAAGACGCGTGAGATATTCTGAATTTGTTCTGATGACGGTTTAGGGTTTAGGGTTTAGGGTTTAGGGTTTAGGGTTTAGGGTTTAGGTTTGATGGGTGTATTTGGTTTGAACAGAAGCAAGACGCAATGCGAGGTTTAGAACGAGCAGTAGAAGAACACGCATCGTTTCTGAGGTGTACAGACAGCTTGCTGCAATCTCTGAAGCATCAATACTCTGATATTGAAGAGGCTTCAAGAGCAGCAGCACAAACCCTAAAGGGTGCACATGCAGAGCTTCACGAACTGCAGCAGAAGAGACAAGAGGATATATATTCTTACTTCATCAAAAAAATTAATCAAATGAGAGACGCCTTCATTTCTAATATACAAGATATTCAGCAAAAACACTCTGCATTCATCAACCAGCTCAAAACCCTACTCCAACTCGTAAGAAAGGGTTTAGGGTTTAGGGTTTAGGGTTTATGGTTTAGGGTTTACGGTTTAGGGTTTAGGGTTTAGGGTTTGGATACTTTCTTCCTCAATAATAATAATAGTGTGATTGTTTATTTCAAAGACTTTTTATTGTTTTAATGATTAAAACATCATAAATATATTATTTATAATATTAATAAAATGATCTAAATGTTGTTAATAATTGTTTGAAGTATAAAAAAGAAAACATAGTAAATAAGAAAGACAAACAAACTTAAAAAATTGAGCTATATATTATTAATATATTATTTATATTATTTTATTTGTTTATTTGCGGTGTACAGACACGTGAAGAGCAACAAAGAGAAGCAGCTGAAGACGATATAAGATTATCTAACGAATATATTTTTGCTCTGAATAAACGCATTGAAGTAGAGCACCAACTACAAGCACAATCTGAAGAAGTTATACAAACCCTAAAACGACAAATAGAAACAGCAACAGATAAACATGCAGCAGCTACACAAACCCTAACTCTTGATTATAAAAGATTATCTGCACAAGATAAAACCCTAGCCAAACAAGTAGAAGAAAAAAACAAACAAATATTCAAGATTCAAAACGCCATCGCAAGGTGGAAAACCAAAGTCCGACAACATAAACAGGTAACCCTAAACCCTAAACCCTAAACCCTAAACCCTAAACCCTAAACCCTAAACCCTAAGCCCTAAACCCTAAACCCTAATCCTAAACCTTAAAACTACTACACAATAATATTTAACATACAAAACGCTATCTCAAGGTGGAAAACTAAAGTCCGACAACATAAACATGTAACCCTAAACCCTAAACCCTAAACCCTAATTCATAAACACTAAAGCATTAACGTTAAACATTTTGCTCTAAATCCTAGGCTCTACGCAGTATGCCCATTGCCCCCTAAACCCTAAACCCTAAACCCTAGACCCTAGACACGGAAACCCAAACTTCAAGCCCTACACCCTAAACCCTAAACCCCAAACCCTAAACCCTAATTGAGCTGTTTAAATAACCCAGGACTTTGAAGAGAGAAATTCAAGAATTAAAGGAGAAGCAGAAAGACTACGCAAGCATTGCAAAGACCTCAGAAACGAAATGGAGGCCGCCAAGTCAGCAGACGCAAGGGTTTAGGGTTTAGTGTTTAGGGTTTAGGGTTTAGAATTTAAAGTGTAGGGTTTGGAGCTCAAGGGTTTTAGTCTGCAACTATAGAAGGCATGTACGCTTTTTCGCGGGCCAGCCTGCAGCCAGCAGCGGTCACAAGCCCAAGCCCTAAACCCTAAACCCTAAACCCTAAACCCTAAACCCTAAACCCTTGGGGTTTGCCCTTTGCAGGGCGTTGGAGCAGCAGCGGCTTACTGAGGTGTCTCTATCTGCAAAAGAAAAGAAAGATACTCTTCTAGAGCAGCTCCGGCTGGCAGACAAAATCCACAGAATGGCGGCTCTTTGCAGGTCAGGGTTTAGGGTTTAGGGTTTAGGTGTTAGGGTTTAGGGTTTAGGGTTTAGGGGTTAGGCTTGTCTTGTGTTGGCGACGCCGAGACGCAGCGCGAGGGCTCTTCACTGTCAGCAGCAAGGCTGCAGGTGCTTGGTCTAACCCCTATGAAATAAGGTTTAGGGTTTAGGGTTTAGGGTTTAGGGTTTAGGGTTTAGGGTTTGCAGGAAGTACGAAAGACCCGACGACCCTCCACCAGATTCATCAAATGTTTTTGATTTGACGGACGAAGAAATGAGAGGCTGGAGCAGCGAAAGCAAGAAGCTGCATGCAGCCCTTAAAGTGGGAGGCCTTTTAGGGTTTAGGGTCTAGGGTTTAGGGTTTAGGGTTTAGGGCTAGAGACTAGTGTTAGGCTGCATAATAAACTGTCTCCTTTTCGTCTAACTTTGTTTCATAACCTGTCTCCTTTTCTTCCTTTTTCATTTAATAAACTGTCTCCTTTTATTATTCTTCTATTTAATAAACTGTCTCCTTTTATTATTCTTCTATTTAATAAACTGTCTCCTTTTATCTTTTTCTTTAGGAGGCCGCGGAGGCAGCAGGCGAAGACGCGGGCATGCTGCACAATTTTTTAAATAAAATCGCAGCTGTCAGTCTTGAAGCGTGAGGAGACACCTCAGGATACACCCCAATAAGGAGACACCTCAGCATACACCCGAATAAGGAGACACCTCAGCATACACCACAATAAGGAGACACCTCAACATACACCCCAATAAGGAGACACCGTGCATTTGTTCTTTCAGTAGCTGCTCTGCCTTCGTCTCTGCTCTTTTGACTATTTCTTTTTGTTGTCTCTCTTTCTATCTCTTTCATTTTGCTGTCTCTGTTTCTGTCTCCTTTTGCTTTATATCTGTCCTCTTATCTTCTTTTATTGGCTGTCTCTCTTTTTATTTGCTTTTATTAGGTGTCTCCTTTTGTTTGCTGCAGCGCCTGTCTTGAACGGTCTCTGTCTCTGCTAACAGAGAAGACAGCATCTCTTAAAGAGAGTGTAAAGAGACAAAAAGAAGAAGAAGTACTTTTAATTGACTCTACAGGGTCTCCTCCTGTCTCCGTTTTATCTGTCTCTCGTCTCTCTTGTAAAGAAACCTCTACACTTAAGCCAAGACAAACAGCAGCAGCAAACACAGCATAAATAACTGCATGCAAACAAATAATAAAAAGAATGAAAATAAATATGTGTCAAGACAAAGATAATAAGGAGACAGAGATAATAAAGAGACAGATATAATAAAGAGACAGATATAATGAGACAGAGACAGAGATAATAAAGAGACAGAGCTAATAAAGAGACAGATTTAATTAAGAGACAGAGGCAATAAGGAGACAGAGACAGAGATAATAAGGAGACAGATATAATAAAGAGACAGGAGACACTTTTAGGTTTATCCTCAGCTGGAGGAGACAGTTAAAGAAGGAGACAAAATATCTCGGGTTTTATTTAATGCAATTTAATAACAAAAATAAACAACAAAAATAAACAACAAAAATAAACAAAACAAATAAACAATAAAAATAAACATATTCAGTATAAACAAATATTAATATCTCTTTTGAAGAGATATTAATATTTGTTTATATGTATAGACATGAGTTTATCTGCTTATCTACATATATATATATATATATATATATATATATATATATATATATATATATATATATATA